CAGCAAAAAGGGGAGGATTAGCATGGATGTTAGCTCAGGGCTGATCTTCCTCACCAAAAAAAAAAAAAAAAAAAAGCTATTTTAATACTGTGAAAGTATTGGATGGGTGGGAGGAGTTGAAGGGAAAGGGAGTTATTTATGAGAGAGGAGTGATGACATTGTATTTTCAAATGTACTGAAGATTAATGTTACATCAAGAAGTAAAAGCCAGGCAGACAAACGAGGCTATGTAACATTAAATAATTCTGATTTTGAATGTGACACTAACAGACTGCCAGCACACTGGTTTCACCCCTAGAAGAATTTATATTGTTAAAATCACCATTCTAACTAACAACAGCAACAACAAAACCCAAACTTACAACCAACAAATCAAAAACAAAACGAATAAATATCACCCACAAAGAAAACCAACCTACCACACAAGAAATGCCCTGATGATCCTGCTGAGTCAAACCAAACAGTAATTACAAGGTTGGGTATGGAAACCGGCAGACAGAGTCCGGTTTGATCACACAGCAGGCCTTGCCTCCATGCTTTCTGCCATAGCCAGGGCTGTAATCACAGTGCCCCATTTAGATGCCACGTCTGGGTCAAAAGACATATTCAGAGATCCAAATGAGCACTCTGAGAGGGAGAAAACTATTGACATATGAACATCTTTGTTCGCATGTTGATTTTTATTCAACATGTAATTTATTCTGATGTGAAATAGAAGATATAGTTTGTAGCTCTAGAATAATTTTGCAGCAGGAATATGTCCTAATGTTGACATTATACCAATTATTCTGATTTGACATATTTCTGAAATTTTTGAAAATGGCATGCAAAGTGTATGGTCAAAGTGCAACGTAGCAGATGAGGCTCAGAAATAGAAAAGTCTCTTAAGCTGAAGTCTATTGCAAGTATGCCTTTCTCATTTTAAAAAGCAAGAACTAGAGTATTTCTAAGAACCTTGTACACTTTGAGAATCAGTGACTCTACACATTTTTATACATACTTCAGATTTCAGATTTTAAAATATAGGAATAAATTTATATTCTTGGGTTTGAATATCCTAGAGATTAGGTATGTCTTAGAGCATAGTCTCTTCAGTTTTAAGGATTAGCTCTTGTATAATTCTATACACTCTGATCCAATTTAATAACAGGGAAAGAGATACAGGGCACTGTGGTTAATTGCAGAAAATGACTGCCAATGACTATTTTCTGAGGTCTGGGAAGCCTTCGGAAAGATCAAACAGTACACAAAACTAGGTACAGTGTATTGTAATTAAGCATCACAGCTAATGGCCCTCAAACAAAACTCTGCTGGAAGACACAGTGATTAGAGGCACCTGCAGGTTAATAATTAGAAGCATCTGAGCACAGAAGCAATTAATACAGGGAAACTGTCCCGGGAGAGAAAAGGCTGAGCAATAAACAAAATAAGATTCTTTCCAAAATCCCGTTTGAAAAAGTCTGTGTTAATCAAGTGTCACCAAGTCTAAACTTTTAAGAATGCATTAAAATACTTATATTTAGTTTGTTCTGTAGCATAATCTTTTAAATTCACTGTACTCATAAATATTTTCATTCGGTATAATCAGGAATCTCCATTTACCAAGTGAGTATCAAACAGTTTGGAGCTGCTAAGGATCAGGTACGAGAACCAGAAGTAATGATTTGCCAGGCAAAACAAGGACCACCAACATTGAATTTATGTCTAAATTTCTAGAACTTTTAAAAAGAAAGCCTCCCAAAACCCATTTGTTTCCAAATTAAAAACCATACTAACATGTTGAATGAACTATTTATGAATGAAAATGTTCCCATTTTTGAAGTGTGAAACTGCTTTGGTCTTCATATAGAAACACTTACATCATTTCAGGACAGCAAGCTTTTTTCTCTTCAATAAATACTTTTAGCTACGCACTGAAATATATTTGGCTGGCATACATTCCTCTATTTTGTGCTGATCATCTTTGAATCTTTATTGTGTATATGTATATGCATTTCTCATTTCAGAATTATATCCATTTTAGCCATCTTAAATACATAATATTCGATTAGGTCCCACTGTTCATTTTCTGTTCCAAGCTGATTGCAAAAGTAGATGTTTTGAGGGTATGTAGCAAAGGCTAATGTATTCCTAAGCAAAATGGAAAAATAATAAACCAAGAAAAAGAGAGACATTAAAGGACTGCTCTGGCCATGTGACCTAATCATTAAAAAACACTTCCAGGGGAAAAAATCTCAAACATTACAGAAATACGGATTCATGAATTATGTATAGTCATAAAGGCCCTTGGAAAACATGTAAAATTCAAGCCCTAAATCATTACTTTGAGAACTACTTCTATTATTTTTCTTTGTCTTATAATGAATAATTTGCTTCAGAATCCCAATGCATTTATAACCTACGGCAAAATTTACTTGGTAAAATATGAAAGATATCATATCCCATTTCCAATTTATTTTTGCTTTCACCTTTTTAATAGTATAATCTTTTGTTCATAGGGAGAGATGTTGAACAGTTTAGAACACAGTGGTTCAGATTTCTGTTAATTATAATCCAAGTTGACTCTGAATAAACATTGTAGATAGTAAAAGTGTTACAAAATATTAGCCTCATTATTATTATCATATTATCATTATTATTAAATGATTGCTTCAGAACGTCTCACTTTGGATACAGCCCACATCAGGTTCGTTCTATTACTGTAGCTCTGGCTTCTTCACTGCATTTGTTAGCTTTGATTTTCAAGACTTGAAAGAACCTCAGAGGCCTTTACTGACGTATTCTGTTTGCTGGGTTTATTTCATTGCTATGTCTTTTTATTGTCCTTTAAATTTGATTTGTTTTCCTCTTCTTATTTTTTATAAGGAAGAAGTTACCTTTCCTGGGATTGTTTAGGTTTTCCCCACCATCATCGGTTCTCTAGCACTTTGATACTCAAAGTGATGTCCCATGGACCTCACCTAGGAGCTTGTTAAAAATGCGGATTCTTAGACCTCTACCCCAGACCTACTGAATCGAAGTTTCACTTTAACAAGATTCCAGGCGATCCAAATGCATATTTAAGTTTTAGAAGCATTGCAGAAGGTACCTAATAGATACTGGTTTAAAAATGAATACATGCTTTTTCCCCTCTCCCCTACACATTTCCTTTGACTGCACTTTTAGTATATAAGGGTCCATTAGAAATGGCGTGGAAATTCAGTTGAGCACTGGAAGTTTACAAAACAGTAGAACTAGAGAAATCACCTGATGGATCTTTTGATGAATAAATCTTGTGGCTTGGTTCAATTGAAATTTACATTTTAAATGATTAGCTTTAAATTTAAGAATATTATTGAATTATTCCTCCCTCACATTTTTATTATTTCAGCTGAATATTTTAATTCTTTTTTTTTAATTGTAGAATCCGTGACTGTATTAGTACTCTTTGTAAACACCAAAGGAGGATAAAGGAGCATGAAATAGATCATCAGGAGATAAAACAAATATTTACCCCATTCATTTCCCATTATGAACATGCAGCTTAAATTTTCAGTAGTTATGCTGTAAGCCATCAAAGCCTTGTTTCCTTCTCAGCCTCATTTCTATGTTTATAGCGTCTGTGGGTACTTGGATAAGCACCATTGGTGTGTAGAATGAAGTCCTAGACTCCTTTCCCAAGTGCAAGAAGCTTCTTCTTCCTGCTGATAAGTGATGAAAGAAAATAGACGTAGTTGGCAAAATTTTAGTTGGTAATCTTGGTTTACAATTTTTAATATTGGTCCTAGCTCAGATTTTCTTATTCATTATTATATTCTAGCAATGTTCTGAATGTTATTGAATATAAAACAAAGATCAGATCATATTTATTTTATTTTACACTTATTCCCACAGGAAATGTTTAAAGAGAGCCTAAATCCTTTCCATTGTAAGCCAATTACATACCATTAGAATTAAAAGGATAAATTTAGTGAAACGGATTTTGCTTTTTCTATTTTTTTGAATAGCCATTGATGAAGAGAGAATAATGGATAAATCTCCTTTGTGTCAATTTTGGTTTTTATTTTATTTCATTTAAAAGTAGTTGCTTAAGGGACTTTCCAAACCGCAATTTTTAAAAATTCTTTAGTAAAATTACTATCAGCCAGAGTTAAAAAGTTTCTTTCATTTACTTCTATATTCATCTCTCACAAAGTTTCTTGAAGTTTCCCTAAATGAAGAAAAGTATGAAGTGCTCAATGAGTCATGGGGGTGGAATGTGCTGGACTGAATTGTGTCCCCTCAAAATTCATATATGGATTTCCCCACTGTCCAAAAGATCGCTTTACAACTTCACTTTTACGAAAGACCTACATTAGCACCTGTTTTTGCTAATGGAAAGAAATCCAAAGAGGATTCTTGCTTTTACAAAAAAAAGGCAAAAAGTGAAACTAGCATTCAGCATTTGTTTTGCAGAAGCTAAACAGTCAAGCATACTGTCATATTTCAAGACTTCCACGTCAGCCACAGCAGACGATGAACCTCAAGCATCGACATGGAGGCAGGCAGGCAGAGAAGAAGGCATAGACGTTAGTAACCTGCCTGCCCTAATGGATTCAGAAGACAATGAGATGTTAATAGATGACCTTCTTCCTCTCTCTCCTACACCCCAGTCTCCTGTACCTCCCACCACCCCAACCTCTGTCAACTCAGCCTAATACACCATCACCACCACCAGCACCTCTCAGCCTTCCAATGTGCTCCCTGTCTTCCCAATTCTGGTAAGTGAAATCACACTGTACGTATATTATTTCTACTTCCTATAGGCTGCGTATTTATCATATCATTTCTGCTACTATATGTTAGTGTTCTTTTAGGATTTATGGCATGATTTGTTAGGTTATTTGGGGGTCTGGGAACACTCAAAAAAATTTCCCATATGAATTAATGGCAATTACTTCTTCACCTTACGCCATTTCAGCTTATGAAGGGTTTCATTGGAACGCTGTACTTTCAGATAGCGGGGGAAACCTATTTTGAAGCCCTAACCCCCAATGTGACTATATTTGGAGACTGAACTTTTGGGAGGTAATTAAGGTTAAATGAGATCATGAAGGTAGGATCCTAATCTGATAGGATCAGTGGCCTTATAAACAGAAGAAGAGAGAGATCTCTCTCTCTTTACTCACACACACTGAGGAAAGGCTATGTGAACACAGTGAGGTGGTTGTTTTCAAGCTCTCACTAGAATTCAGCCTTGCTGGCACCCTGATCTTCGACTTCCAGCCTCCAGAAGTGTGAGAAAATAAATTTCTGTTGTCAAAGCCACCCAGTCTCTGGTATTTTGATATGGCAGCCTGAACAGACTAAGAACTTGGTATTGAGATGTGAGGTGCTGCTGGAACAGAAACCTAACAATGTGGAAGCAGCTTTGGAACTGGGTAATGGGTAGGGGCTGGATGAGTTTTGAGGGGCATGCTAGAAATATGGACATTAAGGGCAATTCTGGTGAGATTTCAGAAAGAAATGAGGAACATGCTATTGAAAACTGGAGGAAAGATCATCCTTGTCATAAGATGAGACAGAAGTTTGCTGAACTGTGTTGTAGTTTATTGTGGAAGATGGAACTTGCAAGCTATGAAATTGGATATTTAGCCAAGGAGATTTCTAAGCAAAGTGTTGAAGGAACAGTTTGGTTCCTCCTGGCTGCTTACAGTAAAATGTGAAAGGAGAGAGTTGAATTGAGAAGGAATTATTAAGCAAAAGGACCTAGAACTTGAAGATTTGAAAAACTATCAGTCTACCCATATTGCAATAAAATGAGAAAGCACGTTGTGAAGAAAATACCAAGGGTATGGCTGGATAAAGAGCTTGATAAAGAGCTTATGGGGCAGTTCCAAGTCAAGATGGCAGTGTAAGCAGACTCTGAACTCACCTCCTCCTGTGGACACAGCCAATTTACAACTACTCGTGGAAAAATTACCCCTGAGACAGAACTGAAAACTGGACAGGAGGAACCCCCGCAACAAAGGACAATCCTAATTGAGGTGGAAGAGGCAGAAACTCCCTTCTGGAGAGAAAAAACACCGCCTCCACAAGCCGCCAGCGACACGGCCGCCGGGAGCAGCCCACAGGTACGCAGCCGTCCCTGGAGGAGCGGGGCCCTGAGCCGGGAACGCCCCTGCTGTGGGCATTTTGTGGATCCAGCACAATCGAGACCAGCGGCATAATATCTGACTTTGCTGCTACTAAAACATTGGGGAGCACCCCCAGAAAACCCAGTTCACAAAGAAATTAAAACTGGCTCTTAAAGGGCCCACGCACAAACTCATCCGGTTCAGAAAGCAACCTAAAATCAGCAGAAAGAAATGTGCACAGTGCTTTGGTGAAAAGAGACTCACCTGATAGGTTCTGAGCGCATTGCAGTGAGAAGTGAGACCTCTCCAGGGACTGGGACATTGGCAGCGGCCATTGTTGTGGCCTGGTGTGGGCGTGCTGACACAGAGGCCATTGGAGTTCTCCCTGGGGCCTGCTAGCCCAGGGTCTGCTCC